GGAGAAGGGGGAATCCTCATCCACTGTTGGTAGGAGTGTGAAATCATATAGCCATTATGGAGAACAGTGTAGAGATTCCTCTAAAACTTATAAATTGAACTATCATATGATCAAGCAATCCCACTTCTGTATATATATTCAAAAGCAGGGATATCAGTATATCGAAGAGATACCCGCATTCTTATCTTTATTGCAACAAAATTCACAATAGCCAAGTTATAGAATCAACCTAAGTGGCTATTAACATATGAATGGATAAAGAAAATGTGGCCTATATACACAACATAATATTAATCAGCCATAAAAAAAAGAATAAAATCCTATCATTTGCAGCAGGATGGATGGAACTGGAGGTCCTTATGTTAAATGAAATAAGCCAGCATAGAAAGACAAATATTGCATATTCTGACTCATATGTGGGAGCTAAAATAGTGAATCTCATGGAGGTAGAGAGTAGGGTGGTGATGGCCAGAGGCTGGGGATGGATGAAGGAAGGGAAGGCTGAAGAGAAGTTTGTTAAGGAGTATAAAAATACACATAGATCAAAAGAATAAGATCTAGTGTCTGATAGTACGATAGGGAAACTATAATTAACAATAATTATTATAGATTTCAAAATAGCTTTGAGAGAAGAATTATAATGGTCCCAAGATAAGTTTTTGAGGCGATGGATAGTGAAATTACCCAGGTTTGATCATTATACATTATATATAGGTATCAAAATATCACATGTACCCAAAAATATGTACAACTATTATATATCAATAACAAATATTAGAAAGTAAATAAATAATGAAGATAAGAACAGAAGCAACACATTTATAGATAGAATCAACAAAGCCAATGTTCATAAGTGAAAAAGACTAACAAAATTGGTAAGTCATTAACAAGACTGATCAAGAGAGAAAAAAACAGGGCACATATAGCCAATATCAGTAATAATAAAATGGAAGAACACTTCAGATCCTGGAGACAACAAAGAGATGAAAGAAGGATTTTATGAACAAGTTGATACCAATACATCTGAAAAAATAAATGTAATTTTCAAATTCCTAACAATATAATTTATTAAAACTGACCAAGAAGAAATGAAAAATTGAATTCACTTTTATCTTAAATAAGTTCTCTAACTAAAAGCCTTCCCAGAAAGAAAACTTGATTCTCAGATGGCTTCTCTGGTAAATTCTTCTAAATATGTAAGGAAGGACTAATATTAATCTTATGTCCAACCTTTCAGGGAATTAGAAACATAGGACATACTTCCTAACATATTATATAAGGCCAATATTATATTGATATTAAAACCTGATAAAGATAAGAGAAGAAAATTATGGGCAAATCTATCTTGTGAACTAGATAAAAATATCCTAAACAAAATATTAACAGATGGATCCAACAATATTTAAAAGGATAAAGCATTATGACTGATCAGATTTATTCCAGGAATTAAAGGTTAACATTTGAAAATCAATATGATTCATTACATTAACAGAATAATGGAGAAGAATCACACAATCATCTTAATGCATAAGCAGCATTTGAAAAACTCAACATCTACTTGTGATTAAAAACTATTAGCATAATATGGATAGAAGTTGTAGTTTCCTATGGCTGCTGTGGCAAATAACCAGAATAGGTGGCTTAAAAGTACACATTTATTATTTTACAGGTTCTGTAGGCCAGAAGTCCAAAATGAGTTTCACCAGGCCTAAATCAAGGAGTCAGCAGGCTGCACTCCCACCATAGTCCCTAGGGGAAAGCCCACTCTTTGCTTCTTTTAGCTTCTGGTGGCTGTTGGCATTTCTTGGCTTGTACCACATCCCTTCAACCTTAGCCTCTGTGGTCTCCATGTGGTCTCTGTGGCCTTCTTCTCTGTAAATCTCTCTTGCCTGTCTTTTATACAGATACCCTTGATTTATTGCATTTATGGTCCATCCAAATAATCTAGAATAATCTCCCCATCTCAAGATCTTTAACTTAATCACATTTACAAAGACTCCTTATCTGTGTCAGGTGACAGTTAGAGGTTCCAGAGATTAGGACCTGATATGTTTTGGGGCCGTTACCCAGCCTATTATTGAAGGCAACATTATTAGTCTGATAAAGGGTGTTATAAACTTCTATAGTAAGTGCCACACTCAAGGAGGAAATACTGGAAAGGTTTTCTTTGAGAGTGGGAAAAGGGAACTGATACCTGGGGTTACGATTTATATTCAAAAGGGAATGAAAAGCATGAATGATAAGAATAGAAGAAATAAGACTGTCATTATTCACAGATGATATTGTGCATGCAGAAAATCCAAAATAATATACAGATCAACTATTAGAATTAATAAGTGAACATAGCAGGTCATTGTATACAAGATGAAGCCACAAAAATTAGTCCTATTTCTGTATGACAGAAATATGAAAGTTAGAAAAATTTTAAACAATTCTATTTACAACATAAAAATCCACTACAGAGGAATGAAAGTGAAGTTGTGCAAGATTTCTGCACAGAAAACTATAAAATGTCATTGAACACGGTATTTTATTTAAAAAATGATAGCATATACTAAATTAGTGGAATGATAGACTAAGTATGGTAACAATATCAGTTGTTCCCTCTTCTTTATAGACTCAGAGTGATTTCAACCAAAATCACATTTTTTTGTGGACATTGACATGCTAATTCTAAAATTTTAATGGACATTTCATAGGCCAATTGGTGTGGCATTGGTGCTTGTATAAATACGTAGATCAGTGGAACAGAAGAAAAGGTCCAGACACAGACCCACACCTATGTGGGCACCTGATTTATAACAAGTTTTGTGCTGCAGAGTTTGGGCAGAAGGAATGGTTCTTCCAGTCACTGATGCAGAGTTAGCTAGATAACTGTATAGAAAAAAGGTTTAGACTTTCACTCTGTACAACAAAATTAATTCATAATGGATTGTAGCTTGAATATAAAAAATAAAACAATATGCTTCTGGAAGAAAACATAAAATAATATCCTTGCGTCCTGGTGTAAAGGTAAAGATTTACTAAAGAGAACATAAAAAGCACTAAACATAAAGGAAAAGATTGATTCATGAGACTGTTATAATTAAGAATTCTGGTCAATAAAGGACACCACTAAGAAAGCTAAAGGTCAAAGAGAAAATATTTGGGCTGGGTGCAGTGGCTAACGCCTGTAATCCCAGCACTTTGGGAGGTCGAGGCAGGCAGATCACAAAGTCAGGAGTTCGAGACCAGCCTGGCCAACATGGTGAAACCCTGCCTCTACTAAAAAGACAAAAAATTAGCCAGGTGTGGTGTTGCTCACCTATAGTCCCAGCTACTCAGCAGGCTGATGCAGAAGAATCTCATGAACCTGGGAGGTGGAGGTTGCAGTGAGCCGAGATTGGGCCACTGCACTCCAGCCTGGGTGACAGAGTGAGACTCAGTCTCAAAAATAAATAAATAAATACATAAATAAAATAAAATAAGATATTTGGAGTGTACATAATTAAGAAAAAACTTACATTCAAATATAAAGGTAATACCTACAAGCCAATAAGAAAAATGACAGAAAGCCAAATAGAAAAATGAGACTGGAATAGAAAAATCATATCCAAATGGCTAATAAATTGGTACACACAGCCACTTTGGAAAATTGTATTTTATTAACTACCAAAACAGAACAATTGCATATCTGTGATCCAGCAATTCTACTACTAGGGATGTATTTAATAGAAAGGTGTACATGTGTTTCTCAAAGACACATATGAGTACATTCATAGCTGCTATGAATAGCCTTAATATTCCTAATAGCCACAAGTTGGCAACAACCCAAACACTCTTCAACAGGATGATAGGTGAACACATCATGATGCATTTGTACAGCAGAATATTATACAGCAAACAAAATGAGTCAACCATTCTTACATACATTAGTATGGCTGGATATCACAAAAATAATATTAGGAAAAATATACATAAAATTCAAAAATAGTGGTAGAAGTTAGAACAGTGGTTACTTTAGGAGAGAGAGATTATAAATGGGAGGAGGCACAAGAGTGGTTTCTGGGGTGCTGGTAATGGTTTTTTGTTTGTTTTTAGTTTTAAAAATAATTTTTAGATCAGGTACAATCGCCTATACCAGTAATCCTTACACTTTGGGCCAATATGCCAGCAAAAGGTTAAAGTTTTGTGGGTTTTTTTTTTTTTTTTTTTTTTTAACCAGTTGGACTTTTGGCTTCTTTCTCCCTGTGCAAACTGGTAAAAGGAATGATAAGGATCACTGCTTGTATTCTCTGCAAAGTTTTAATTAATGAAAAAGGATGTTCTTAAAGAGTACTCAGCTAAATTAAAAGTGGATATCCTTGGGAGGCCGAGATGGGCAGATCATGAGGTCGGGAGAATGAGACCATCCTAGCTAACATGGTGAAACTCTGTCTTTGCTAAAAAAAAAAAAAAAATACAAAAAATTAGCCGGGTGTAGTGGCGGGAGCCTGTAGTTCCAGCTACTCAGGAGGCTGAGGCAGGAGAATGACATGAACCCGGGAGGTGGAGCTGGCAGTGAGCTGAGTTCACACCACTGCACTCCAGCCTAGGAGACAGAGCGAGACTCTGTCCCCCCCTCAAAGAAAAAAAAAATGGATATCCAAGTTATAAGTGTATTTTTAAAAGCCTTGACTGGGGATGGTGGCTCACGTCTGTAATCTCAACACATTGGGAGGCCAAGGCAGGTGGATTGCTTGAGGCCAGGAGTTTGAGATTACCCTGGCCAACATGACAAAACCTCGTCTCTACCAAAAATACCAAAAAAAAAAAAAAAAAAAAAAATTAGCTGGGCATGATAGCGTGTGCCTATAGTCCCAGCTACTCAGGATGCTGAGGCAGGAGAATCACTTGAACTTGGGAGTGGAGATTGTATTAAGCCAAGATCACACCACTGCCCTCAAGCCTAGGTGAGAGAGCAAGACTTTCTGTCAAAAAAAAAGGACTTTGTGTTTTTTTCTTCTTGGATCTTGTTTTTCTGGAAAGGTTTTCTTTTCTTCTTTATTTTTTCCTCAGTCGACTAAATTACTTTTCTCTATTTTGTCTTGCTACTCTTAATGCATGCATAAAAAGCCCTAGGACAATTTCTAATGGCCTGGGACTCCTTGGAAAAATAGAAGAGACACCACAGATTCCATTTTGGGGGAAATCTCTATTGTCCTCATGGAACACCAGGAATTGGAGGTAAATAGATCCCTCTCAAAATCTGTTTTTGTATACCAGGTATGCCTGTTTATTAGGCCCTAGAAACTGCATGCTTTCCTAGACTTGCTCTTAAAGGACTCCACCCTGAGGCTAGTAATCCAATATGGAGATTGATAAACAAACAAACAAACAAAACCTTATAACTGCTGCATCTTCTGTCTATCTGTGTAGTCATATGTATTATATGTGTAATGTTTATATTTAAAAAGCTCCAATCAATTGGCTTAAAAAATAAGCACTTAGATCAAATAATTTTTGAAGGAAAAATAAAAGCTATAATGTCTTTAGTTCACGTCACTTTAATCTTTAAGAAATAAGACCAGTCTTAAAGATTATAGGTAATACAAATGTCTTCAGATGTAAATATATGGTCTAAATTATGCAGGTCAGATACTAGGTTTGCTTTTTTTTTTTTTTTTTTTTTTTTTGAGATGGAGTCTCGCTTGTCGCCAAGGCTGGAGTGCAGTGGCGTGATCTCGGCTCACTACAAGCTCTGCCTCCCAGGTTCATGCCGTTCTCCTGCCTCAGCCTCCTGAGTAGCTGGGACTACTGGTGCCCACCATCACACCTGCCTAATTTTTTGCATTTTTAGTAGAGACAGGGTTTCACCATGTTAGCTAGGATGGTCTTGATCTCCTGACCTCGTGATCTGCCTGCCTCGGCCTCCCAAAGTGCTGGGATTACAGGCATGAGCTACCATGCCCGGCCTAGGTTTGCTAAACATTTTAAGGTTGTAAACTGTTCCTTTGGTCTTTGAGAACCATTTGACTTGGCTGCTTCACAACTGATAAGCCCTGGGTACATATAGAATTTACCATGCCCTTAACTATGCTGGAAGGAGTCAGACTATATCTGTGACTAGTTTATAATTAAAACAACTTACCAGGTTTTACATTAAAGTTAAAAATTGCTAAGAGTTACCACTATACCGTGTAATCGAGACTACTGAAAATAGATTTAGATGCAAGGTATGTAAAAACAGTAAAATGTATTTTAGTAAAAGATTATAAGAAGACATGGAAATGTAAATTTCTGTCCAGGGTTAAAGGGTTGTTTTAGATTAGAGTCATCATGTTGACTAAAATAAATAGCTTATAGTGATCTGGAATTGTATTTTGTAATGTCAAGTGCTTTGAACTTCTAACATATTTAACTGGCTTCTCAAAATCAAACCTCAGTTTCAAGGTTGTCTTTTCTAACCCCTAGCTTTTGGATGCTACAGAGGGCCCCTAGAGCACCCAACAGGGAGGTAAACAGGATTATTTGACATGTTTGGGTAAGTGGAATTGTCTTTTTTTTTTTTTTTTTTTTTTTTTTGAGACACAGTTTCACTCTTGTTGCCCAGGCTGGAGTGCAATGGCACGATCTTGGCTCACTGCAACCTCTGCCTCCCAGGTTCAAGTGATTCTCCTGCCTCAGCCTCCCGAGTAGCTGGAATTACAGGCATGCACCACCACTCCCAGCTAATTTTGTATTTTTAGTAGAGATGGGGTTTCTCCATGTTGGTCAAGTTGGTCTTGAACTCCTGACCTCAGGTGATCTGGCTGCCTCAACCTTCCAAAGTGCTGGGATTACAGGTGTGAGCCACCGTGTGCAGCCGGGATTGTCAAAATGATGTTTAGTATTCTTCAGGTTATATTTTAGTAAATAATGTCAAAATATATTCTGACATTATATGGGATTTTAAAAATTATAATGTCTGGGGCGGGCACAGTGGCTCATGCCTATAATCCCAGCACTTTGGGAGGCCACAGCGGGTGGATCACAAGGTCAGGAGATCAAGACCATGGTGAAACCCCGTCTCTACTAAAAATACAAAAAATTAGCTGGGTGTGGTGGCAGGCACCTGTAGTCCCAGCTACTTGGGAGGCTGAGACAGGACAATGGCGTGAACCCGGGAGGCAAAGCTTGCAGTGAGCCAAGATCGTGCCACTGCACTCCAGCCTGGGTGACAGAGCAAGACTCCATCTTAAAAAAAAAAAAAAATTATAATGTCTGAATATATGCTACCAATTATAATTAAGGATTTTATGTTAAGATATTGAAAACCACAGAAATAACCAAATTTCTTTGTCAATCATGTTCTTAACTGTAAATAACCTGGACATTCCATTATTTCACAGACAATTGTTGTCTTGTTTTGATCCTCTTCAAAAGATAGTATAATCAGCTATAGGACTTTGACAGGTGCTCTCAAATGCAAGTATCTGATAATTGTGGAGATTTTAACATTGGAATAAAGTAAAAATGTGCAGGACTCATGATGACCTGAAATGTTCATGAATATTAAGCAAAGCAAGAGTTAACAGAATGGACTGAACTAACAGAAAACTGAAGTAACCTTTTTAGCTTTTTTGCTTAAAATGTTACTGATCCTTGTTTTGTTTTTCAGTCAAGAAAACTTATCTTGAGCTATTTACAGCCTTTAATGATTCAGTAAGGTATATTCTTGTAAACAAAATTTGAAGCATGTTTGTTTATCTCTGCCTGGCATCTCCAGAATTTGGACACTATTTGTGAGTATTCCTAAATTATGGCAATATACTTATTTGCATCAATGCAATAAGAGTCCATTTTCTTTTGCAACAGGACACAGCTGGAGATACTGGTCATTTTACCAAGGCTTTGACCAGAATGGTGTGCTTCCCTTTAAGGAATCGAACTTCACTTGCAGAGTCAATAAAAGCCCCTTGGAAAAACTAACCTCATACCTTGTCTACATAGTCCCTGTACAGGGTTCCTAACCTGTGGTGAGTAAAGAATGTCACTTTCTTAACAGACCGAGGAGCCCCATATTCTTGGGACCTCAAGAAGAGAGGAATTTACCCAACTCATAGATATTTAAGGGTACAAACCCATGGGTGGGCTCAGGTTTAAAAGGTCTCATCTTAGATTTTTTGTGGAGCAGAGTTCCATCAAGGCCAATTTAAAAGCATCTGTGAAGGATTGGTATCCTTGCTGCACTTTACACAAATAATCAGGCCAAGTATAAAACTAAAGTTTATTTTGCAAACAATTAAGTCTTATCATGATTTGTTTTAGAAAAAAAATGAGGACTGAACAGAGAAAAATTATGTTTCAAGACATATACACTTGTCAATTAATTCTAATCTCAGTTGTTTTTAAGTTTTTGTTTACATTATAGATTCAGCTTGCTTATTCCTGTAAACCAACCAGTGATCTATGGCTGCAGCTCAGAAGAAACAAAATGGATAGGTAATATAAATAATCTGGATCGATATTTTAATTTTGAGCAATTATCCTGCAAATCCTGCCAGGTGATGGGAATAGATAGGGTGCCCATAACTCAGAGGTTTGTTTGTTTGGGAGAATAAGACCAAGGAACCTAACCAAGTCAAGTCCCATGCACCCAATTCTTAACAGGCATAACTATAGCCGCCAGTTATTGGGGAGTGTTGACAGCCTTGGGATTTTTGAGCTGTCCTTACCCCGACCTTGTTTTGTTTTGATACATGTCCTCTAATAACCCAAACTGTTTCTTCTCACTTACAGGCCATTGTACTTCAAATGGTAATGCAAATGGAACCACACATGGCCACACCATTCTTCTGGGGACCCTTAAATTAACCTCAGGAGGAGCCCTGACTGTTATAGTCCCCCACACGATGCCACTATTTTGCCGGAATTAGCTAGAAAGATCATCACCCAACCTTCCTAACAGTAGCCGGGGTCTCCAGTCCTGAGTGGGGAAATGAGAACGGAAAAAGGAAAAAAACTGTAAGCAGACAGTTAAGGCCAGTCCTCAGTATAATTCTTTTAAACAGAGAAACAGCCTGAAAAATCAAGTTGCAGCTGCACAGATAAGGGAGCAAGGCCCCACATAGAAACACCTTTGTTCTTTGTATAATTGGTGGGCTCCCAGGGAAAAGTTTCCTCCTCTTCTATGAGCATGCACACAGGGGGATCCATGGAAACTTGCATGGAAAGGAGGCTTGCCTGAGACATGCCTGCAGCTGCACAGGTGAGGGCAGTTACACAGACAGCTACACAGATAGGCGAAGTTTTTTTTGTTTTTGTTTTTGTTTTAATGAAAGCCCCTGTATTCAACTGAAGAAAAGGCAACCCTCTCAGGTCCCCCTTCTATTGCGAAGAGCTTTCCTATTTTGCTTATTAAACCTCTGCCCCAGCTTCACCTTTGGTGTCCATGGTCCTTAATTTTCTTGGTCATTAGACAAGAGCTTGAGTAATACCTCAGACAACAAGACTGCAACACCTCCATCCCATGTTTATATTTCCTATCTTCCACAAATGGAACACTAGCACCCCCAAATATCAACATGCAGGTTTTGTAAGCTATACCAAATCAACTTACTAAGTAAAATTCAATATCTATTTTTTTCAATGTCTGACTTTTTTCCTTAGAATATACACCACTGAGAGTTTTTTTTTCTTTGTAAGCATGGTATCAATGTAATATATCATTAGATTTATTGGTTTTATTTATATTTATTTTTAGGTTTATCTCCTCATACTGATTTTATTTTTTGGAAATGTAAAATATTAAAATGATTCAACAGTTGAGGCTGTATAAAAATGTATACTTAGAGAAGAGTCATTCCCTACTACATTCCTTGCATTTCATTTGCATCTACCCATGAGTAATGTTCTATTTCTTGATATGGGTGTGAGATTACACAGGTATATTTATTTCTTCTTCTGCTTAAAGCTGATCACTTATTTGTGCTTTTGTTGTATGTTTCACAGTGAAAACGTTTAAAAATACCAATGAGATGTGTCAGTCAGTATTCAATTAGGGAAGCAGAATCACTTAAGTATTATTGAATGAGGAATTGTTATAGGACTAAGACCATGCACAATTATAGGATGAGTTAGGGAAGATGGAGGATCAAAGAGCAGTCACTATCCAACCTTCCTAAAGCATGGCAAGGTGGACAAGTTGAGACTGCAGGGGGCCCTGAGAATCCAAGCACATTCAGCTGCTAGAGTGGAGGTACAAAGTGTCTAGAGAAAAACTCCAAAGAAATTTAGCTACCACTTCTGTAGGTCCTCTGACAAGTATCTGGTGGTGGCACTGGGGCTACTGCTAATGGACATGGCTGGCCATTGGGAAGAGCTGAACACAGAGTGAGGGAGAGCAAGATGAGCTGGAATCCACTGGTATCTGTATGTCACGACAACTAGCAACAAGAGCCGTCAGAAAGTAATGGCTGTGGCTTCTCTTCTACCTCCCAAATATCACTCAAATTCTTTTGTCCAACTCTAACCTGAATTTCAACTAGGAAATAATTCTGGGAAAGTAGTTTTAGCTAAACCAACTGTTACACGGTACAAACTGCCACCAGAGAGATGGTAACAGTCTTAGGGCAGTGATTGTTGACATGGAGAAAAGCAGAAAGATTAGGGAGATGTATATGAGTTAGAATTGATTAGATTAGTTAATAAACTAGATGTGAATAATGAGGGAAAGCAAAATCTAAATGAGTCTCAGGCTCTAACTTAGACAGCTGTGTGGGTGATGGTGCCATTAACTGAGGCAAAGACTCCAGATGGAGAAGGCGGAGATGATGGCTACAGGGAGATAGGGCATTTAGTTTTGCCCATGTTGATTCTGAGAAGGTGGTGGGGCTTCCAAATGAAGATATGCAGTAGGACCCAAATATATTACTATATTTTTTAAATGGACTTTTGCTTATTATGATAATTTATCCTCATTGTGACTGGATTTATCCTATCTAAAATAGCCAAAAAATTGAAAAATATAGGAAGCAACAATTTCAAGACATTGGACATCAAGCAGTAAGGGACCGTGATCCCTGAACAATGGAAAATAAATGCTATGAATGCTGCAATGGACTGCCTTCAGAAAGCGTCTAGGATACGGCACAGAGAAGAGAAAACCAGGCCAAGCCCTATGGACTCCAAGAATTAAATAGATGGATCTCTGAGCCTTGAGAGATAAAGGCAGTCAGAGTTTGCCAAAGAGAATACTGGAGAGGAGAGAGATGCCCAGAGATAGAGAACTCTGGAGTTCTGCAGAGGATCATGCTCAAATGCTCAGCTAGGCACCGATCAGCACATGCACATGAGGAAACTCTCCAGGGCCAAGGAAAGAACCATCTGAAAGGATAAGTGGTAACAATGCATGGTGTTCACACTGAAAATAGTACCTATTTTCACCAGCCAGACTGGAAAACCTCAGATTCATGGAGAACTGGGTGGAGAATACAGAAGTGCCTTGCCCTGTTTTCAAGCAGCTCGATTGAATTCCAAAACGAAGCTCAAGAATATCTATGCAAGTATTAAAATATCCAGCTGCCAACAAGATAAAATTCACAAAGTCTGCAGCCAAAAATTATTAGGTATGAAAGAAGCAGGAAACACCACCTATAATTAGGAGAAAAGTCACCCAATAGAAATTGACCCAGAAGTGACACAGATGTTAGAATTAGAGAGAACATTTAAAGTCATTATAAGTGCATTCTATCTGTTCAAAAACTTAAGTAGTGGTATAGACTGAATATCTGTATCCCCCTCAAATTCATATGTTGAAATTTTAAACCCAAAGGTGATGGTATTAGGAGGTGGGAATTTTGGGAGGTGATTGAACAGAATTTATGCCCTTATAGAAGAGGCCTGAGAGAGGATCATCGTGCCTTCTGTGATGTAAGGTTACAGCAAGAATGTGGCTGAGAACCAGGGAATGGGCCCTCACCGGACATGGAATCTGCTAGTGACTTGATCTTGAACTTCCCAGCCTCCAGAAATGTGAGAAATAAATTTCTTTATAAACTACTCTGTCTCTAGTAGTTTGTTGTAGAAACCAAGCAGTTTCATTGAAGCTTTTAAAAAAATAGTATATAATAGGGGGAAAAACCAAACTATTTTCTTCCACTATACTCTCAACACTCCACATAAAACACTTCTGGTCACAAAAATGTGGGGCTGTTTTTCCCATAAAGCAATTCTCCAGTTTTCTATGAACACCAGCTAGGTGTTCTACAATTCGACTAATTCTGACTCTATCTAAATGGAGTTAGAATGAGATGCCACAGGTTAAGGGCTTAGTCACATATGTCTGACCTCACTTCAGTTGCCAGTTTTGAGTGCAAACTTCCAGTACTTCTGATAGGCTGGCTATAAATTGGGAGTTCCTATGACCTCCTTCTCATATTTGGTCTTTTGCTAGAATGGCTCACAAAACTTAGGGAAGTACTTACTTAAACTTACCACTTTGTTTTAAGGGACATTACAAAGGATGTGGATGAACAGCCAGATGAAGAGGTACATGGAGCAAAGTACATGGGAATTGGCATGAGGTTTCTGTGCCCTCTCCAGGCATGCCCACCTTTCCAGCACCTTCACATGTTCAGCAATCTGAAAATTCTTTGAAGGCCATCCTTTTGGGGTTTTATGCAGGTATATTTAAAGAGGCTTCATTGTGAAATCATTGATCAGTAGTAAACTATTCACCTTTCAGTCCCTCTTCTCTCCCTGGAGGTAGAGGGAATGGGGCTAAAATTTCCAACGCTTTAATCACAGTTGATTCTCCCGGCAACTATCCCCCATCCTGAGGCTATCCAGGACCCTCCAGCCATCAGTCCTCTTACTACCATATTCATCAGACACTCATCACTTCAGAGATCCCAAGGATTTTAGGAGTTGTGTGCCAGGAAATGGAGGCAGAAACCAAATATGTATTTTTTTATTATGTCACAAAGACTGAAAGTGAATGAAAGAGATGAAAACTACAATGGTGAGTAAAAAAGACACTGCTTGATTAACAAAAGATTAGACATTGTAGAAAAATCATCAGCTTGAAACCATAGCAACAGAACTATTCAAAGTGAAATACCTAGAGAAAAGAGAATTTTGAAAGAAAGAAAGAAAAAACACAGCTAAGTGAGCAGAAAAGAATTTCTGAAAGTTGGAGTGTAGGGCAGAAAAATATCTGAAACAATGCCCCCCAAATTCCAAATTTTAGACCAACTCTACACCCACATATTCGAGAAGCTTAATGAAACCTGGGCACAAGAGACGTGAAGAAAATAACACCAAATTACATTATAGTCAAATTTACTCAAAACCAGTAATAAAGCAAATCTTAAAAGCAGTCAGAGGGGGGGAAAATGCTATGTACAGAAGAATCAAAATAATGACAAATATTTTATTGGAAACAATGCAAGCAAGAAAACAGTAGAGCAGTATCTTCAAAATACTGAAAGAAAAAGAACTCTCAACCTCATTCTATACTGAGTGGAAACACCTCTTCAAAACAAATGTGAAATAAAAGCATGTTAGACATAATAAAGTTGAAAGAATTCACCACCAGGAGACTCACAGTGAGGCAAATGTTAAAGAAGTTCTTAAGGCAGAATAAAAATGATACCAGGCCGGGCATGGTGGCTCACGCCTGTAATCTCAGCATTTTGGGAGGCCGAGGTGGGTAGATCACGAGGTCAGGAAATCAAGACCAACATGCCAACATAGTGAAACCCTGTCTCTACTAAAAATACAAAAATTAGCTGGGCATGGTGGTGTGTGCCTGTAGTCCCAGCTACTCGGGAGGCTGAGCCAGGAGAATCTCTTGAACCTGGGAGGTGGAGGTTGCAGTGAGCCGAGATTGCACCACTGCACTCCAGCCTGGGTGACAGAGCAAGACTCCATCTCAAAAAAAAAGATACCAGGTGGAAATATGAATCTATAAAAAGAAATAAAGAGCATCAGAAATGGTAACTATGTGGGTACATCTATGTACTTTTTCTTAAACTTTAGATCTATTGAAAGATAACCAACTGTTTAAGTAAAAATAACAACAATGTAGTGTGATATTTGTAGCACATATCAAAGTATAATACACAACAACAACAGCACAAAGTTTGGGAGGGGAAAAACTGAAGTAGAACATTGTGAAGTTCCCAAACATGCAATGGTATCGTATCACTGGAAGATAGTCTGAGATAAGTTAAAGGTATATCGTATAGACCATAAAACAATACTAAAATAACACAACAAAAAGTTGTAGCTAATAAGATAACAAAGGTGGTAACATGAAATCATTTAAAAATAATAAATATAAAAGAAGGTAGAAATGAGGAAAAGGGGAATTTAAAAACACATGAAACATATAGAAAGTACAAAGATAATATATTTAAATTTAACCATGTCATAAATCTCATTAAATGTAAATAGTCTAAACACATATAAATGACAGAGATTGTCAGATTTGATTTTAAAAAATGAAACATCTACATGCTGCCCCAAAGAAATACACTTTTAATATAAAAACATAAACTATATAACATGTTAACAGTAATCAAAAGCTGGATTATCTACGATA